TAGAACTTTTCATATGTGGTCAGTGATGTTTTGAATATAAGGAAGGACCATAGTCCCAAGTCCCCAAGAGTGGGAACGTTTAACATTTTTAATGTGGAAATTATTAGAGAGAAGAGCAGAGGTAAGGTGTTTTAATTCTGGGTTCAATGACTCTGACTGAGTTAGTTTTACGGCTCTGTAAACAAAAGAGTTGATAATCGATGATTTTTGGGCCGGATGGTGATGTGACAATGCATTAAGGTATCGGTCTGTGTGCATAGGTTTTCTGTAAACACAATGACCCAAAGTTAAGTCTGATTTTCTATTGATAAGAATATCTAAGAATGCTAGGTTGTCATTAGTGTTTCTTTTAATTCCTGACCATGAGGCCAAATAACAAAAATACCATCGACATAGCGTTTCCATAATATTGGTTTTAGATGGCTTCCATAAATATATTCGCAATGACGTTTGTTCAAAAATTTTACTGTTATAAGAAAAATATGTTCGAGACAAGCATTTTTCAATTAAGGTGAGAAGGTTTGGTTCCGGATTTCAATAAATCTGAAATGATGGTGAGATTCAGGAATAGGAACCAGAATGTCTTGTGCATCTATTGTTATGCTTTTTATTTGTTCAATGAAGTGAAAGGAATTAAGTATGAAACTGCCAGTTTTCCCTGGAAAGCGGTTTAATACGGAAGCTAGATATTTTGCTAGAGAATATGCTGGAGAACCAATGGTGCTGACAATGCGAGGCAGTTTGCAATCAAGCTCTGAAGAAGCCATCAGGATTATTGGTGAAACGTTAGCTAGTTCTAGAAGTGTTATAAAAAGTACTGTGACAGATTCTTCTCGGTTTTGAGCGTGATGGATTAAAGTATTACCAACCATGTTGGTCCATTCCGTTATCTTGCTCAGTCAGGACTTCTTCTTTCTTTCCATATCTCGTTTACATTCTATTTTTCCTCAACTATTAATTGGATGTATATATATTTCCTTATTTTCATGGTTTTTGTTAACTGAGGTATTTATTCTAAATAGGACTTCTTCATTTGCTGTTCTAGAAGTACAGCGTCGAATCTCTCAAGTTCTTCCTGCTTCACACACATAAGAACAGAGACAACACACACCACACTTTAATCTTCTGTCCCAGCTATTTCTATCCTTCCTTTAATTTGTTTAGTGTGCTTAAATTGATGGGTTTGTAGATTGCTGCAGTTTAGTGAAGTGTTCACATGTTGTTCTTGATTAGTTTTGGTGAGTTGTATAGTTGGTTAGTTGATTCATTCACCGCTAACCCCATTCCAGCGGTTTCTTCTGTTAGCTCTGCTCTCCCATTATTCCCACCACTACTTATAGAAATCTAAGTCAGAGTGATATAAAGCAAGTACTTTGAGACGTCGTGAAACCAGCAACAATGGGACACAGGACATTGCCTGATGGGACCTTACTTAGAGCGTAACTCTATTTCCGCTTCGCAGAATCATCTGTGATTGATATAACAATTCCCAGATAGAATACATCCAGTTTCATTAAACCGTTTTAACGCTAAAAAGCAATTTAGCTCGACGTTCTATTAAATCTGCTTACCAAATTTTCATTTCTCGCCGTAATTCGGCATCCATTGTACGACTCCTCCGAACGCCATTCGAAATGCGCGAAACCGTAGTTGCTTATATTTTTCATTCGGCAATGTTTCGCCGCGAGAGTTTAAATTTATTGAAATCTATTTGCGGAAAGTTACTTGGAAATAAATTTTCAGCCTTTTGTTTACGCTCAGCTGCGAGGTATGAAAATTCTAACGGATTAAATCCGCTTGCCTGAAAATATTTTGATGTTTCTGACGTTTAATTTGTAAGAGGTAAAAATATAAATTATCCGCTCTGAAACATCAAAGTTACTCGCGTATCTTCGACCCCTTTTTCGTGAACACGAGTTGCGTTATAAAAATTTAAGGCCGAAGTATTTGCTATCGAAAACCGGAAAACGAGGCTTAAATTAACCGTTACTGTGTAATTTTGAAATATATGGATAAACCTTTTTTTTCTCTTGAGTATCCGGTCTCTCGAAAACAATTAACGTGATTCTTCTAAATATTTATTAACGTTTCGATCGTAATTTCGATCTTTTTCAAAATATTCTTATTTTGTATAGGTGACATATATAACAATTAATGACATTTGACGTTGTGTTAATATATTGAAAATAAAAATAATTTGTCAGCGAATATTTTATACGGATTGGAATGGCATGCAAAGCAGGTACGGATGTTTTTTATTATATTGGATAATTTAATTTTGTTAGTTTCAAATTGAATGATATATTTTGTTAAGGTTTTTAGAATCGATTTTGTAATTAATTGAATTTTTGTTTTTTTGGATTTCTATACTTTCATAAAGTTCTCTTTTTTTGGTGTTAGGTTCTGTTAGTAAGACTTAAACTTTTTGAAAATTAAATGTGTGTTTGGTGTTTTCGCAATGGGTATGAAGAGCTGTTTTGTTTTTTTTGTCATACTTATGTCCGTTGATTCTATTTTTTAAATATTGGCTTGTTTGTCCTATACACTGTCGCAATTAGAGCATGGAATTTCATATACAATACTGTTCTGTTTGCAACTGGAATTTTTGCTTTGAGTTTAGTGAAGAGATATTTTGTAAATTATAACTTTTGTGTTCTATTTGAATTTTGTGTTTCTTGAAAATGGTTTGGAGTTTTTCTGATAATCCAGGTATATATGGTAGCGATATATATTTTCTTTGAGGATTTTGATGTTGATTTTTGTTTACGTTATTATAAAATTTGTTGGTACGTTTATTAAACATATTATTAATTAAGTTTATGGGGTAATCATTTTCTGCAAGTGTGTGTTTTGCTTTTTCAATTGCGTCTGGTCTATATTCTGGATCGGATAACTTTATTGCTCTGTCTGCGAGACCTGTTATCACGGATTTTTTTTGGGCTAGGGAATGATTAGATTTAAAATTTAGATAACGTGATGATTTTGGTTTCTTAGTATACCAACTTGTTCTTATTTCATTTTGTATGTCATGTAGGGATAAGTGTAAAAAGTTAATAGTATTTTGGTTCCCAATTTTAATTGTGAATTCTAATTTTTTGTGGGAATTGTTGAAGGAGTTTAGCAATAAGTCTGTTTTTCTTTTTGGAACTGCAGTTATGATGTCGTCGACATATCGATAAAAAAAAGGTAAATTGAATTGAATGTTTTTAATAACATTTTCTTCTAGATATTCCATAACAAGTTGTGCTACTATGCTTGAAATTGACATAGCCATGGTACAACCTTCGACTTGTTTATAAAACATATTTTTGTATTGAAAAAATGTGTATTTTAGTGTAAAATCTAAAGTCATTAAAAATTCATTGAGAGGAATATCTGTGTGTAATTTAATTTTATCCCATTTTGTTTTAATTACTTGTGTGATAAGCTCGAAGGGTATGTTGGTATATAATGATACAACATCAAGCGAAACTAGAACGTAGTTATTTAGTAAAATTTATTTTGATTTGCTACGTTCTTTAAAATATTTGGATAATTTTTCTGTTGGTGATTGTATGCAGTATATGATAGGTCTTAATGGGATGTTGGGATTGTGCAGTTTTGGTAAACCGTAAATTCGTGGTGGCAAAGAATTATTAATTTTCAATTCTTTTGCAGTATGGGTTGGAATAAAAAGTTGATTTTCCCAATTTGATATAATTTCGTTTGTTTTTTTTTTTGGAAAATTTGTCTGGGATTAGAATTGATTTTTTTATAAGTTGGTTGGTCATCGAGTAATATTTTCATTTTCTTATCGTATTCTTCTGTATTCATTAAAACAGTTTTGTTTGATTTGAATGATAGATAGATTATTATTAGATAATTTAGATAAAATGATTTAATTAATTCATGTCTAGATAGTATAACAGTGCATTACAATATAATTGTAACATGTATATGTAGTGTCTGACTGAATAAAGGATTATTAAAAAAAAAGTAACTACACAATTGCTCTCACTGGAGTATGGTAGTCTAAATGGTATTTGGTGATAATTTCTGTGTCCAGAGTTATTCATTATATTTTGACATCCACCTACAGGGTATATTTTGAAAGATAGAAAAACAAGTGAAAATACAAATAAATACAAAAGTTTTAAGATTTTTGTTCTATTTCCTTATGCAAATGTTAAAAAAAAAACAAACGACGATCGCAACCTGTCAAAATGAGACCAATAAAACTTTTTAAAAATGGAATGCCTTATATATTCTTAGCTTAAGTAGTAGATCTTTTTTCCTAATTTCAAAAACATGTAGTTTATTGACATTTCATCTATCCGTTTTTGAGATACTTCAGTTTAAAAATAATTATCATTCGATTTCTGGACAACTATTTAAAAATGGTCAAGTCTGCCTTGATAGCAACCATACTCTCTATGTTTTCAATTGTTTTATTGATGTTCTACTTTTGACAACTAATCAAAACTAAGGATTTGCAGCGTAAGTTAAGTCACTTAAAATATTTCTAATGGGTAATATTGAGGAAGAAAAACACAAAATTAACCCTGTAGGTGGTTCTCAAAATATAATGAATAACCCAAGTACAGAGATCCACTAGTGAAATGTCTTCAGGTAACATTTTATTTGGACTCGTTAGTTTAAGTAACTACCACTAAAAAATTTACAATTTGATTCGTTTCAAAATTTCAGCTTGGTAATTGAGCAATTTTATGTGAAGATGGGCACGGGCCGCAACTTAATCGTTCCGACTCGATCCTATACCTCCGAGCATTTCAATTCCGGCAATTCGATCAGATCAACCTTAATAGTTATCCACCTAGCGATAATCGTTTCCTGCTGCAGCCGCGAAACCGATACCTTTCCCAAACGCGGCGGTAGAGGAACGTCTATGAGGTTGGTGCAAATTCAATTGGTTGAATTAAATTTTTCGATTTACGTCTTAAAACTTATTTCCGCTGGATTCGGTGCGAATTCGGATAAGGAACGTTGACGCCTTTACTTACCTTAACGGATCTTTGATATGTATGTATCTGTCTAACGATATGGCGCAGAGATTTAAAATGCTGGCGGTGGAACACATGACGTCGAAGGCGATCCAAGTGTCGCAAAATTTCGTGCCGAATATCCAATAGCCGAGCAGGTCGTTGACGCCGGCGAAAGTCATAACCTGCCAAACAAAATCATTGTTTTTTTCTTTTTGCGAGACGGCCCAAAATATCTGTCATGTCCGGTACGTGTCGAGCTGAATTCGTAAAGATGTCATTACTTTAATATGGGAAATTTTTTTTTTAAATAAAGTGTAACTAGATTAAATATCTATTTGCAGAAGTTTTGACAGAAGCATCTTTTGAGTGTCGTTAAAAGTGCTAAACAAAATATCAGAGTTATGCATTATGTCCAAGATAAGGATGTCTATCAAGGGGATATCGAATAAAATTTAATTATTAAAAATTATATAAGACAAAAGCAAAGTTTAAAGGTTAACTCATGGAGTCTTTTATCGAATAGCTTTCAATTTGGTTTTTATATCTTTCTTTTTTTTGTAATTTCTACAATGGAAGACTTTTTGTAAGTCGAGAAATTATCTATCGTCCTAGCTGAAAGTATGAAATTAAATGAAATACAAGCTTCACTAAAGGTTAAGCGATGCAGTACGTTTTTCAATCGTACGCGATAAGAAATATTTGTTCATGTTTTCTCGTCTTTGAAAATAATAAAACCACGAATGTGTTCGAAATTTCTTCGAAATAATTACTTGAAATGTTAATGAAACCCTCTTTAATGTAATTTAATTGAATATAACTCTTGGAGAAGATGAATTTGCGTGAATACACTCTAGATGGAGACTATTTGTTGATAGTTTCAAAAACTAGTTTAAAAACGAATATATAACGAATATTGAATGAGAAGAACAGGAGGGAGAAATTTGCGATGATTGTAAAAGGTAAATTTCCTTCGTGAGCATCAGAGTTGCTAGACAAAATTTTTTTCGAGTATTTGGGAAAATTGAGGACCTATGGTTTCGAGAGGAAAAATCTTATATACGGCTATACACGTCAAGCGGGCGTTAATGAAGTAATTTGAGATGGAAGTTATTTTGAGTCCTTGTCACCTAAATTTTCTGGGAATAGCACAGAAAACAAAAAGCTCAAATAAGGTCACTTGTTATACATCAACAATATACCAAATCAATTAACTAGACTGAATCTAACGCTTGTTGTTCATTCGTTCAAATAGTGAAATTAATGAAAACTATAATTTCAAAATTGCTTAAAATACTTCCACAGCCACCGTGATCATTCTTCAGAAAACTTAGGTCGTTGTGGTGAAGAATAGGGGAAAAAATACATCAGAACATTAAAACGAGCACTATGAGGTAGCACATGATGGCCAATACACGAATTTTTGTTTTTTTTCCCAACTGCCAATATTAATATATCAGTTTTAACGTAAAATATTCACAAGCTAAAAATATAAAATGGTAAAGAGCCTATTTCGAAAACTAGACAAAATCTGACACCTCTCTGGATTATGAACCCATGAAACATTACTCAGGAACAGTTGAAATATCGCAGTTACGAAAATGTCTGTGATGCTAGAGACTTTAGTGCTTCTAACTTATAGAAATTAACAGAAATAATATCTATGGAAAGTAAAAGCTATACTTTATAACTATTTGAGGTTTGAAAAGTTTAGTAGATTAAATAAAAATGGTATGGTGTTCATATGATATTTTGTATGATGTTCCAGTGTGGGACAAGATCTTTTAACTAACGAACCCATTTGATACATCTAATCATGCATGAAAATCGGACACATGCTTCAATGCATTTTAAATTTAAAACTTTGAACACAAAAATTGTTTCGAAAGAGTGCAGCCATGCAATGAAAATAGTTGGCGTTATAACTTCCTTATGACACCGAACTTTGGTATTAAATGAAACACTTGGTAAATTATTTCATTTTCAGGTTTTCAAGAAAATTTCGTTAAGATATCCTTCAGGTTTCCGTATATTTTATTCCATGAAGCTATTAGATAATTTAACTGGATCTAGGCATATTTTGAGAAAATGCTGTTCTAAAAATGCTGCATCCAAACTTATTGTCGATTTTTCAGCGGTTATGTTCGTTGCTAAATGCTGGAAAGTCATTGGTTGAAAACGAAATTGTAAATCTCGTGTATGCGCATGCTTCATTCATTTTACTACATTTATCTGAGGAGGAGAATTTTTCAATAAATTCTTTGGGAGATACAAAAGAATTTTGCAATAAATGAACTACCCACTAGTACATGGGATTAGTATGAGCGCATTGCGAAACTAATTAATATGTATAATATGAATCTTGTAGAATTTTCAATTTTGAAAATATCGACAAATTTTAGTACCTCATAAACATGACAACGTTTAATTAATAAGTTTTGTAATAATGTTTTATGCAATTTGATTCATGCATTAATAATACTTTATTTTGCAAATGAAAAGAAGTCAATTAATACTAACCTCGGCCATTCTTTGTATATATCTTCACATATTATTACCATTTTATTTTAGATATTTAATGGTTCTTTCATCAAACTGTCATAGCACATCCTTTATTAACAACTATGAACAGCTTCTCTAATATAAATTTTTGATATTATCCAAAATAATGTGTCTCTTGCATAAAATACATATTTTTTGACATTCGCAGGGGATGGGAGGGAAACAAGGATAAGCTTCATTTATTTAAAAACAAAATTGTAAAACAAAGGTTTTTATTAACAACGGTAACAAAAAAAAAGTGCTCTACCTGGAAGCATGCATTAGACATAAGGTTTTGTTACCAACGAGGCTACGAAAAGGTCGGCAATGGCGAGGGATGCCAGAAATAAGTTTCCTATTCTTCGCAGTCCGCGGTCCGTGTAGATCGCTATGCATACTAGGATGTTGCCTGCCACTGATAGGAAGATTAACAGCGACAAGAAGACTCCTGAAAATTAACGGGAGGTATTAACTCTGGTGCTTTGAACTTTCCACTATTTCACTTTTAACGACTTAAAAACTGTTATTTCTATGAATACAAGGCATTAAAATAACTAACTTCGAACCTTCTTTATTTAAGTGGATTACGCGACGTTTCAGACAGATGGCCCCTGTGCCTTATATTTTTGGTGCAAACTAAACTAATCCTGTAGTTGTAGAGTAATGACACCTCATTAGTATTGTAAACGGCCTATAGAGTGGCCCAATGAACACTAAAGCCACACGCCCAAATAAACAATTTATAATCAAAGTGGCCAAAACAGAATAACGGAAATAATGGTAAACTTTACATATATGCCGCTAGGAGGCGTTATAGCGTTATTGCATTTTACTAAATATTGTTTTATTATAAGTTGACAAAAGAATACGACCAACTTAATCCCTGCATCTTTTTCACTTTTAATTGTAAATGTAATTGTTTGACTGATTGAAATGCCTATAACATTGGTTTAACACATTCGAACAAATTAGGTCTCGTTTAAAACCGCTTGCTTGCTCATAAGAAAATATACCTATGGTAAATTAGTTTTTACTTTTTCCGTTAGAGGGCGCCAAATCAAATAATTATAGTTGTTTCTCTGAAATACCAAACAGAACGACATAACTATTTGAGCAAAAACGGAAAGTAGAAAATAACCCTTTAACCATATGTCGGTAAGTTTAAGCATTCGATGGTTATTTGCAAAAGAGCTTTGTTTCATATTTGAAGTAAATTATATTTCCGATTTTTATAGCCAAAAATGCTAAGTTAATATGTGCTTTATTGTGACAAATAATCACAGCAATTAAAATAACAAAAGTAATAGGTAATAAATGTAAATTTTTCAGTTATTTTAAGAAATTTGAACCAAGCTAATATCATACTTTAATCAAATGATTAAACTAACTTAAATTAAAACATTTGGTATAATACTCTTTTTTATTAAACATTGTACTAAAATCAAATTATAGAAAATCATGTTTTGCTTTTGAGGAACTGTCCGTTATAACATAAAGAGAGGAACTTTATGTTATAATGGTTCGGATCGATCAAGTAGTCAAGATCCCACACTTTCTCATCTTTTTTAATAAGTTGCTGGGACTGTTTTTCTCGAATTTTCTGGTGTCAGTTTTCTGGTGTGACCCATCCAGTGTAACCGTAACTATTATTGCAGTGTATCCGCACTTTGCGATATAACTTTTAAATTGTCCACCCTTTTCAATGATCCTTGTCATTGCAAATTTTAATTTTATTACTCTCTCCGTTTAAGAAGCACAGTATATGAATTTGTTTTTTTGTTGTACCCTTCAGGCATTTACACTCCACATAATTCATTCGTTAAGTCAAAAATGTGTTTTTGCAAATTCGTTTTGAAAAGAAATTCGCAATTTAATTAGACGTAATGCTGCCGCGTTTTTCTCTGAAACAGGCCCGACGTGAAAGTCGCTTTTGTCGTCCCGGAAACACAATATGAGCGAAAAGCTTTTTGTTTTACCCTTGACCGCGGGTGATTGTCTAATCCCTTACGGTTAATGAACTAAAGGGATCCGTGCCATATGGCGCTCGTTATATCCGAAATATCACTTATTAAATTAGCCCGACAGTGGGATCGCGTGTCGCATAGAATTCTATTATTTAAAATTGCAATCAGATGGTAAGTTATTGATCTGCAATCTGGCAATAAATAATTTGTTGATTTACATGTACAGGCTGGTCGTAATTGGAATATTCTTTTCCAAGAATAGTATATTATGCAACAAGTGCGGTAAACGGCATTTGACTCACGAGTTTATTTGACACGAGCGGAGCGCAGTGAGCGAGTTTTTAATAAACGAGTTCACCGAACGTGTTGCATACTATACTTTTTCTACGACTGTTAGACATGAATACACTCACTGACATGACCGTCAAAATTGACAAACGTCAAAATTTAAATCTATTACAACAATACCGATTTACGTGTTTTTCAATTTTTGGTCATTTTAAAAAGGACAGATGATTCATGTATTAACGAAAATTTCTGATTCTGATAAAAATGTTATTAAGGCATATGTATTACTCGTTCAGTGGCATAGTTAGTTATATGGATATTTTTTCTCAAAAAAGAAGCTTTAGATCTAAGTCACAACTACTTCTGTATTGCAAGTTACAGGATAAATAAATAGGCACTTTGGAGATAATAGTATATTATGCAACAAGTGTGGTAAACGGCATTTGACTCACGAGTTTATTTTTATTTTAATAAACGAAACAAATAAAAACTGAAAGTTGAGATTTTCACGAAATTATAATATTTTTACATGACAATTGTTTCGACAACACCGTGTCTTTATCAAATGTAATATTTACAAACTACCTGCTACTATATATACCGAAAAATAACATTAAAACCCTAATTAATGTTGTCGTGAGAATTTAAGTTTAATAATAATAAATCTAATTGATCGTTGAGCATAGTAAAATTCCGGAAATATCCGAAGTTGTTCGGATCCGTGTGAAACGAAACTGACGAGGTAAAGTGACGAGATCGGTGGGTAATTAGGTATTTTACAGACGAGAGTAGAAAATGATAATTTCCTAAAAACAAATTATGCCTACAAGTAACAAAAAATAAACATCTTCGATTACTATGTTCCCTAATAAAGTGGTTTAATGCAGGAAAGTAAAAACTTGTAGAATAGTTTTGCTTTTCCAATAATCACTAAAAGAAAATCATTATTTCACATTAAAGTCCCATTTAGCTATCACGTATATCTACACAACAATGCAGTAATTGCTATGTAAATACCCATTTTGATAATAGGGCTTATTTCCGAAGCGCAGTACAAAATTTAATTTAAAATGTAATGTGAACTATTATTATATGCATTTTTTCATTTCCATTAATTTATGCAATACTTTCCTAGCTTTGTCCTTTATAATAATAATAATAATATCTTTACTATCTCACATATTTAGAATACCATCAGTGTATAATGGATTTCGTCAAGTAGGTCAATATAGATCATGCAATTGAGGCAGAAAATTACATTACAAATTTATATAATAGAAATATATGACAAAGCACAACAATACAGTGATGACAAACATTAATATGTAAAATTTTATTTTAAATTGTAAAAACAATTTTCTAGGAGGAAAAAATTTAGCTTGAATTTAAAAATGTTTACTTTACTTTTAGCTTTTTAGCTCTGGGGACAGTCTATTGCAGACTCTGATACCGGTGTTCGTAAAATATTTTTTGAAAATTCTAGTCTATTTTTTTATGAAGAAACAATCTTTGTTACGTGTACTAGGACTTTTTTTTGGGATCTGAAAACAGATGTCGCATTACTTGAATTTCCCCAAAAGGGAATACCATAGAGTAATCTCGAATAGATGTGAGCATAGTAGAAATTTAACATGCACTCTTCAGTCGATAACAATAACCATACAGCTTTGAAGAAAGTAATTGGCATTGAGTTTCCCAAGGTAGGGTTTCGTCAAACTCTAGTCCTAAAAATTTAACGTGCTTTTTTATTTCAACGGTTTCTCCTCCCGACCAGACATTCACAGAAAGATCCTTTTTGTTTTGTCAGCACAATTGTTTTTTGGACATTCAAAAAGAGTTCGTTGGTGTTAAACCAGCTATGTAGCAGTACAAGTGCTGATTAATTGTGTGAGGAGACTTAACTTGAACAGTCGTCATAAAACTTTGACATTTATAATAATAATATTAATTTTTGAAGTCGAAACTTAGAGAAGACTTTTTGGCGTGGACAAAATTATAGAATATTTCTTGTAATCACTATCACTATCATCACTAATATATTAGAGAAATTTTGTTATTTGTTTTCAAAGATTTTGACGATAAATTACCATTAATGGGGTATGTTGTAGTTTCTCGCCCATTTCATGATAAAAGACTTTAATGAATTAAGTTATTATCGAGTAATTAGCTAAGTGACCCTGAAAGTTGTCGTGGTTTGCTCTGTTAACAACAATCAGTATGCCAATCAGTCAGATAGTGCAATTGAGTTGAAGAGGAGTTTTGTATATAGAACTATATCCATTAGAAGCTATCGCACGAGGTCACAGGTAAGGTCCGTCTACAATATTGAATATTTTAAGAAGGAATCGAAAGAATTTTGTACGAAGATCCAGCCAACGGTACAAGAGATGTACTACAGCAACTGATTCTTGATACTTAATTAAACATAAAAATGCACATTGATGACGCATTTCAAAAATGACATTAGATTTGGGGCAAAAACAGTCACAAAGAGGCATTTCAAAGACCAACCAAACCACAAAGTTCTTCGATTAGGATTTGCACGTTCCATGGAGTATAAAGTATTGAAAAGTATTTTCTACGCTCATGAGACTAGAATCCAATGATGGCAGCCAGATGGATGAAAAAACGTCTACAGAAGGGAAGAGCGATTATGCAAGCTGCAATCTCATAAAGGCCGTTAATTTTGGAGGTCGTAGTATAATACTTTACAGTGATATTAGTTGGGAGGGACGAACTGAACTCGTAAAAGTGATTGGAGGAATTGCTAGTGATTTATTCAAGATGCGTATAACACTAGCCCGCTTGCAGCTCATTAATTAGCCTTTCTGGGGTGTGATTAAAATGCTTTTGTTCAGGTATTTAAACCTATTTGATCGTCAAACGATACATTTGAATGTCTCATTTTGTTAATCTCCGTGGCTTCCAATAAATCTAACTTTGTACTTTTTGACGTCAAAAATGTGTTTTTCTGTGTTTAAGTTGGCATTACTGTTCAAGATGGCGACCGATTTAACAGCTGTCAATTGATTTATTCTCAGTTTGGTTTGACAATTCATCATGAATAGACTCACGCCTGAACAACGCTTGCAAATGGGCCCAAAACGAGATTGCCGTTGTTCCCGATTTTCATAAGCGAATTTTGTTTAGCGATGAAGCGCACTTCTGGTCGAATGGCTACGTCAACAAACAAAAC